AAATCGCCACATAGTTGCAACAGACATCTGAAGAGACTGAAGATGTCCCAGAGGCTCAGCTAAGGACCATTGAGCTATACATCCAGGTCCAGCAACAAAGGGCAGCCGATGGACAACTTGCACAGGCTGAATGCATGCTCAGGCGCAGTCGTTTTATGCTCGTTCCTGGCAACCCTGGTGATAATGTAACAGTTGCCACCCCTCTTGGCCGTCGTGGTGATGGCGATCCTCGTAATATCATGAGCATCATTGCAGACAGAGACAACATTGACCTGTATCAGGTAGCAGCAGAACCCAGTTCGACCTGTACAGCATTTAGGACACGTGTAAAGACAAAGACCTGAGCCTCCGCCAGGGAGTGTAAAATGAGTGCGATGGTCAGAGATTTACCAAATGTTGTTGTGTAGTAAGCGGCAAACAGTGTTAGACATTGGATGCAAATGTTACAAGGCAGGTTTAAGATGCAAGAGCAGGTGCTACTCAAGACTAACATGTGACAAAAATAACTGTCCAAAATAAACGGAAATAGACGGATCATGTAGTTGTTCACATGTAACAACTGCGAAACATTATGTGCAAACAATATTACTAAGTCATATGTTTGTTCACAATATATTCTGGATGTTCTGTAGCTGAACTGCATGTTATGTCAATAAAAATAAGTAACATATAAAAGGACTCTAGTATTCTTTCGTGTTTGAAGAACCAATCAATTAACTGTGGAACTTCTTATATAAACTGACGTCCAAAAGAAACTTTACCAACTGAAAATATAAATTTCAGACAAAGTATAAATTTTTTTTACGATGAAGTCTATCTAAAACACATAACCTAAATACAACAATAGTGTATGCAGAAAATGTTAATCGTCTGTTACATGTTTTCGCGATAACACGCGAAAAAGTGAAAAACACGTGCACCACGGACAACTGCAAATGCACGTGTGAGTAAGGGTATAAAACGATTGCAACGGCAAGTCAGACATCCACAGTGATACAAAAACACAAAGGAAATGCCACGACTGACAGTCGAACAACGTGAACGAGCCTTGGGTATGGTACAGATGGGAGCCACCAACGCCCATATTGCACGAACCTTCGGTTGCTCCCGTGTTGCCGTTACCAACTTGATGCAATGTTACAGACAGACAGGGCGGACCGCTGACAGGCCAAGAACAGGCAGACCCAGGGTGACCACGCACCATGATGACCGGTACTTGCGTACCTTGCACCGAAATCGCTTCCTGACAGTGACGTCATCGGCGACAAATGCCTTAGGTCACAGGGTTAGTCGGCAGACAGTGGCCAGGAGACTCAGGGCTCATGGAATCAGGGCTTTTAGACCATACAGAGGACAGCTATTGACAGCGCAACATCGTCGTCTGCGATTGAGATGGGCCCGGACTGTACGACGTTGGCAACGACGTGACTGGCAGAGGGTTGTCGTCATTGACGAAAAGTCGATTCTGTATGTTTAGGGCTGACTGAAGACAACGTGTTTAACGCCGAAGGGGTGAACGAACGGCGGCGTGTTGCGTGCAGGAGGTCGTACCATATGGTGGAGGGAGTGTCATGGTGTGGGGAGGGATCTGTGGGCAGGAGAGGGCACCGCTGGTCATCGTTGACGCAAGCTTGACAGCTCAGCGTTACATGAATAACATTCTTCTTCCAGTTGTCCTACCATTTCTCCAACAGCAGCCACGTGGTGTCATTTATCAGCATCACAACGCTAGAGCTCATACAGCCAGAATTGTCACTCACTTCCTCGCAGCCAACAACGTCAACGTCCTGCCGTGGCCTGCACGCTCACCCGACATGTCCCCCATAGAACACCTCTGGGACCTGATCGATCGTCGGGTTCCACAACGACCACACTCTCAAGCCAACCGGCAGGAACTGAGCTTGGCCCTCCAAGAAGAATGGCGTCAAATCCCACGTGACCTCATCAGACGACTGACTGTTTCTGTGCGTCGAAGAGTTTTTGCGTGTATTGAGGCATTTGGTGGTCACACACGCTACTAATGACTTGTTATTGAACGTGAGCGATTGTTTATGTACTCTGCCTATTGTCCATGATTCTGAAAGCTAGAGTGGGGGGCTCTGACGTCGTTCTCGGTCGCGGTATGATTGTCATTTTCAGTGTTGATTATGTTGATATATTGATCTTCTCGATACACTTTACTTCATGCATGTATGTTGTTGTTTTTTTTAGCAAGAGTGATTTCAAACTCTGGTAAAGTTTCTCTTGGACGTCAGTTTATAAGTTACTGTGATCTTCGTGAGATCAAAATAGATCCAAATTAATATGAGGAGATTAAATGTAATGAAGGAGTACACTGGCTGAAACTTTCAGTCAGTATGTACATTGCCTGGGTGAATCAGTCAATGTACATATTGCCTGGATGAATCAGTCAATGTACATATTGCCTCAGTGAATCAGTCAATGTACCTATTGCCTTGGTGAATCAGTCAATGTACATATTGCCTGGGTGAATCAGTCAATGTACCTATTGCCTGAGTGAATCAGTCAATGTACATATTGCCTGAGTGAATCAGTCAATGTACATATTGCCTGAGTGAATCAGTCAATGTACCTATTGCCTGAGTGAATCAGTCAATGTACATATTGCCTGAGTGAATCAGTCAATGTACATATTGCCTGGGTGAATCAGTCAATGTACCTATTGCCTGAGTGAATCAGTCAATGTACATATTGCCTGGGTGAATCAGTCAATGTAAATATTGCCTGAGTGAATCAGTCAATGTACATATTGCCTGGGTGAATCAGTCAATGTACATATTGCCTGGGTGAATCAGTCAATGTACCTATTGCCTGAGTGAATCAGTCAATGTACATATTGCCTGAGTGAATCAGTCAATGTACATATTGCCTGGGTGAATCAGTCAATCTAATACAGAAGCCATTTATTTGTGATTGATGAATTTACCATCCAGATAGTTTCTGTGGTTTTGCGGTCAACCTTTGGGATGACATAAGCTTGTGACTACCACACAGAGAATGTGTAAAACAGTTGGTTTGATTGATGCCAAATGTACTAAATTACATTTATCACTAAACCATTGACGACGCAAAGTTAAATAAATATCAGCTCTATTGAGTAATAGCATCATTTGCTGACGGAGTTATTGTCGGTCATTCTCTGGACATGGGATCGTTGGTAGCAGTGCGCAACTATTCACTCTCATCTGATTGATCTTCTCCCAATACACCCTTCTAACGTTCAAGAAACACCTGAGAAGCGTCAACAAAATATGCCTGTATCTCAGATGTTGTCGAATTATTCACATTATTTACTTAATTTTGTCCAAGTTCACTGTTATTATTATAGTTGTGTTTGATCTAGCGCATGATTTGTGAACGGAAGAGTATACAGACTCTCCAATAAGTCATATATCGGCATTACAAAATATTATGTTTTGGTATCATCACATTTATCACCACAATAACTACGACCTCGATCTTTGTGATGTAAATGAGTGTGGCCATCCTTGGATCAGTTGGCCACAAGCTCCTTCCCACCACGTGTCACCTCAATTACCATGAGGGGATGTTGTACAGTGTATTACCAGGTAGCACAGTGAGGGAAGAGTCTGTACACCATAATTGTGCCAGTGATGTCTTTTTCCAACTTTAAACTTTTTTCTTTCACAATTTATGTGAGTAAAAATACATTACTATACGCGTCCACATCATATATACTGTTTCTGATATAACTCGTGTATTTGTTTGAAAACAAACAACATTTTGAAATATACTCGTAATAGAAACGGTGTTCAAACGGGGAATCATTTGGTAATGTTCTACATGAAAAAACAAACAAAAACAGTCTGATTACGTAGCTAATAAAAAGATAAAATCATTAAGTACATTTTGCAACATGACTAAGAGATAACTCTTCTCATTAGAGAGCACATGTTTTATTAATGAACAGATTCGTTTCACACTTCCCCCTTATAGGGAAGTTGAAAGTTAACTGTCAATATGAAGTCTGATTCCGCGATTACAACTCGCACGAGTTAACACCCGGAGGCCATATCAATTGCTATAGCTTGATACACCAACATTGAAAATGTTCCTTTCTCATTAGCAGTAAGTAGATTAAACATATACTTATTTCGAGTAATACATAAATATGTTTGTTGTGCTGATAGGTGGGTATATATTATTTTCCATTTTCAGACATATCATGACTTCTGTGGTGATCCTATGTTTTGCATCCGTTCTACTTTTCATACAAGGTAAGTTTGCAGATATTCATTGTTTCGTCCAGGAATCCGCTTCGAAAGATAAACGTTTTGGTTTTGTGACTATAGGAGGCTAATGTATCATATTATTAGCGTACTTATTTCGACCCGTGAAGATCTGAGGTAGTATCGGTCTTCAGCAACCCATGCATGCCCTAAAAGGCGACTATGCTTGTCTTATGAGGCGACTAATGAGATCGGGTGGTCAGGCTCGCTGACTTGGTTGATACATGCCATCGTATCCCAATTGCGTGGATCGATGCTCATGATGTCAATCACTGGATTGTCTGGTTCCGACTCGATTGTTTACAGACCGCCGTCATATAGCTGGAATATTGCTGAGTGCGGAGTTAAACAACAACAAACAAGCAACCAAAGCATATCTATTTCAACCTGGACTATCATTTACATGAAGGTTTCAAAAGTCCATTACACTCATGGATCCAATATCCTACTTTCAAAAGTACTATTACAACTACCCAGTCGTCACAGTTTGCTCTCATAGCTTTGCCTTTTCGGTTACCTCTGTCCGATCTAAATGCTTATTCTTTCTTTTCAGCAAAACCCTGCAATTATAGGCAGAACTGCTTAAAGTGTGACGACACAGGTTACTGCGCATCAAGGTGTGACCTTGGGTATTTCGGCAAGAGATGCACATCTAAGTGCAACAGTGGCTGCAGATATAAATTATGTGATCTACACACAGACAGTGGCACCGAGGTATGCACCCATGGCTGTATTTCAGGATTTTACAGTGTAAGGTGTAACATACCATGTGATGAGAACTTGAGACAGTGTACAGAATGCAAAGAAGGGTGTGTCGGTAAGTACTGCCAGCTGAATTCATCCTGTGTTTCTGGATGTGTCGACTCCTACTATGGCCTTGACTGCAAGAACTGTTCTGAACTATGTAAATCGTGCAATAGAAGCACTGGAATATGTGACCAGTGTCATTCGCCATACACTGGTCCCAACTGTGAGATGTCATGTGAGAATTGTAAAGGAACATGCAAGGCCGGATGCGTAGAAGGTTGTAATCGCGGATTTTATGGTCACTGGTGTGAAAAGGTGTGCAGTGAAAACTGCCACGCTGGTCCTGGCGCATGTGACAGAAAAGCTTCAAAGAACTGTAGTCCCGAATGTGACAAAATGACAGGATTCTGTATTCATGGCTGTAATGGCGGGTGGTATGGAGCTAACTGCTCAACTCAATGTAACCCAATGTGTGTAAATATGTCCTGCGATGATTCAGGGGCGTGTGTAGCTGTCTGTGCACCAGGATATGCTGGTTCAGACTGTTCATGCTTTGAAAACTGCATCGAGCACATTTGTTTCTCTGAGAACGGAACCTGTGCAAAAGGGTGTGCTAGTGGTTATTACGGTGCATTTTGTAACACCACCTGTGAGATTTGCATTGATGGGATTTGTAACCAGGAGTCTGAAACCTGCACCAAAGGATGCAACATTACTGATAAAAGATGCAAGTCTCCCTGTTCAGGTGACTGTCCCATAGATACCTGCGTCAAGGAAATTACATGTGGTAAGACCCTTTTTTTTTAATTTTATGGTCACTGGTGTGAAAAGGTGTGCAGTGAAAACTGTCGCCCTGGCCCTCACGCAACTTCTGTCCCAGCATGTGCCAGAAATCCCACCACCTAACATTTGAAACGTCGAATGTGACAACTATTCAGGAGATCGTATCCACGGTTGTGATGTCGGATGGTATTGTACTAATTGCTCATCTCGATGTAACTCGAAGTGTGTAAATATGTCCTGCACTGATTCAGGGGCGTGTGTAGATGATTGTACACCAGGTTATGCTGGGTCGGACTGTTCATGCTTTGGAAACTGCATTGATCACGAATGTCACTCTGAGAACTACCTGTGGGATATTCATTGACGGTAATAAAGATCATTACATGTTATACATACATGTCAATAGTTTAGAAAAACGACACCCAAACATCCTTAACAAGATGTTGACAAACACTGACCATCCGAAACCTGACAATTACGGGCATTCCCCGTGAAGGAATTAAAACAGATGCATCAATGGAATAGAATAATACATCAACCAATTTATATGATAACTCGTTTGTGTGTGAATATGATATTCTGGGTTCGATTCCCAACATGGGTACAATGTTTGAAGCCCATTTCTGGTGTCCCCCGCCGTGATATTGCTGGAATACTGCTAAAAGAGGCGTGAAACCATACTCACTCACTCACTCGTAGTTTAGAGATAAGGTTAGAATGGGTCACAGGTGTTGATTTTATGGGTTTTCCTTAAACCCTCTCTAATGTTCCAACATGACCCAATCTAATTTACCCTGAGAAATAGATAAACATTTAGGTCATCCACTTTACTTGATCAGAGACAATTGATTTACGCATCCTATTTGAACATCTGTCCATTTGTAGGTACTTTGTGTCATAAGTTCAAGGTTTTAGGTATTGCACCTATTGATACAGAGGCCCTGCATGTAAACTATTTTACTGCGCCACTATTCTGGTGTTTATAAGCGACATATACGTATTCGTACACATTAACAATATAATTAAACTTGATAACATTATTGTTTCCACAGAGCCTACCTCTCAGAGCCTTCCACTGATCATTATCGGAACATCATCAGCGTGTTGCCTGGTTGGCATCATGGTAGCTGTATGCATTGGATGCTACGAACGCACCAAAAGGTTTATATTCAAGTGTTTTATGTAAACAATGAACATGACAAATTGAGAATGCTTTCTGTGATATTTAACATATATGCTCTCATCTGAGCACTGTGACGTATCCTATTTTACATCTATGCTAAGGACCGACAATTTGATATTCTGGTTATTATTTCTTTCAACAGTCTGAAGCATAATAATTTTTTTCAAGCCTTTCCAGGGACAATTTCCTTCTTTCGATAAAATCCACACACTCCACGCCCCACACCTCCCTGAATACGGAGATAATATTCCCATGTCCTATTACCAATGACGATAAACAAATACATTATTTCTCTTACAGGCAAAAAAGAGATGACAAAGAAGAGGAATATCCAGCGGGACAACCGGAAGCACCCCAGTACGAGCTGATGGATATTGATCCTGATAAGAACGAAACAGGCCCTGTGATAGTTTTCCTTTAGTGTAGGATCACGCCCCATAATCTCCCACCACACAACACAGCACAGCACAACACAACACAACAAACCACAGAACAGCACAGCACATGATATAATATATTCCAACAATACCACATCATTATTTTTAGAATATATTTGATAACTTGCTTGAATCTATGTTAACACATAACTTTAAATACAATTCAGAATTCTTATCATTCTTAATTTCTACGGTATGATAAGCATGCTTAGCTGTCTTATGCAGTAATGCATTAAGCATTATATGTTATACTTTCATATCAATAGTTTGCAAACCTAAACCCAAGCTGTCTGTCTTTGTGACACATGTTGACTAAACACTTGCCAGTTAAAACATTCCCCATGAAGCAATCAAAACAGTTACATCGATGGAAAATATTATCTAATCCTCACGAATCTACAGAGCATAAAGTATATTATTTAGGAGATAAACCTACTGTGTTTTGAAATTTGATTGAGTCCCGCTGTAGAGTAGATACAAGTTACACGAAGCAGGATGACAACCCCAATCTATGATGTGGTTGAACATTAACTTGTAGACTTATTTGGAATAAGCCTGATGGTGCAACGTGGTTGCCAATGGAACTGGAGAATGACTGAACAGCCGCTTTTTTAGGCTGCGGATGAGCCGGCTATTTTGACAGAAGGGATCTGATTTGACCTGTCAGTTTCATGATTTCCCAGTATTCGACGCCAGTGTGTGAAACAAATGTGACAGTTTTTGCCAAAAAAACAGTGGTTTGTGTATGATTTTATCAGTTATGCGTGTTCAGAAATGAATTTAATCAAGTTTGATAAGATGTTATGATCAAGTGCCCGTGCTGTGACTCCAGTGATGTTGAGACATTGTTTTCGTGGCCTTTCAAAGGGAGGGGTGTATTCTGATGGACTTTCAAATCCCCTCCTGCCAAATCCTAACGTTGGTGGTTGACGGACATGGCAATGATTGTCGATTACAAAACAGTTTGTAAACAACATGTTGTCATGAATAAAGTTTTTTACAACACTTTTTATAATGTTATATTGTACTTTCATTGTCAATGAGGAAATTGCCTGTTCTGGGTCTATTCATCGAACATGTCGTCACGATATGGCTGAAATATTGCCGATGTGACGTAAAGCTTTAACTCACTCACTCATCGAACATGTCCCTAACAGTTTCATAAACATTATCATTTGTATGCAAAAGATATGCTTTCGTTAAGCCTTATAATCTCATCACATCATCGATAAAAACATCCGATATCAAACTACCGTATTTCCTCTATCAGCCGCTAGTCCGTCTATTAATGTCGGTGTGTATCTGAGACCTGTCTTGCATTGGCGACATAGCGTGTACTAGAGGTAGTGCTTAATGCTTTAAGTTCCTATGGGTAATCGAACGGCAGCCATTATTTATGAATCAACTTGTAGGTATTCGAAGTATTCATATGCACGTTTTTTTTGTGCGTGAAAAGGCTTAATATATTTAAAAGGGGCTTCCGTAGCAAAAAATTATCAGAATCAATTATACCTCAACGTCATGGTAGAGTTAATGTCAGTGAGTTTTGTGGTTAGAATGAATCTTTTAATAAACAGTGTATTTGATAACTACCATTTAATAATACATAGAAAATTTAGACGTTTTTCTTTAGTGGAGGATGACGTCAAACAATGTCTTTAGAATGTGAAACACTCATGAATTAAATCACCAGCAGGTGACCCCAGGTCACTGACTTTGTATAGGTTATAGTCATCGGGGTCGAGATAAAATTACACGTGAGTGAGTGAGTTTGGTTTAAACCCGTGATCATAGATGTCTGGCGTATCCAAGGGACACAACCCTAGACAGGGTCATCTATGCCACCGAGTGAGTGAGTACGTTTGGTTCAATGACGCTTTGAACAATATTCCAGTGAAACGGCGTGTCAGCTTAATGTGGGAGGAAAGCCTAAAGTTATGCAGGCCTTAGACGTTTTCTAATTTTGTGAAATCCACGAGCATGGGTATGGTGCTGCCAAGAATATACTCATTGTGTGGTGCTCGTCACTGCTTTGTGCAAAGTAATAGTCATTGATTTCAAGAGGTTATAATGTAATGCAATGAAATGCGTTGCGTTGTGTTGTGTTGTGTTGCGGTGAGGTGAGGTGAGGTGAGGTGAGGTGAGGTGAAGTGAGGTGAGGTGAAGTGAGGTGAGGTGTGGTGAGGTGAAGGAAGACAACACAATAGAAGGTAGACACAATTTTATTGATAACAACTTCTTTAATACTGTCCTGATAAGTACAAAAAGAATGTATATCAATAAAATGGCCTAAGCACGATACCGCTTGAATCATAAAAGACAGGAAACCGTTGATTGGACTGAGCAAAGGCTGCCACGATAAAGTGATTTGTCATGTAATGAATAAAAGTTGAGTGAACTAATTAATAGTAACACCTTCAGTCAGCAAAGCAGTGATAGCTGTGCAACCATTTCGGATTGTCAATAATCATGCGCGACGATCAGCGGGCAGATATATGACAAATGGTCCTGTTTTCATACTTTCGGGGTAAAATAGGTCTTCAGCAACCCATGTTTTCTTTATTTAAAAAAGAATCAAATGAAAAAAAGACCAAACACATCTACACACGTGCACATAAGTCTAATGTAATTGTTCCTCCGTGTGCATTGCCTGCTCCCTTCACTACATCGTATGCGTGTCGTATTAGGCGACTAACGGGATCGGGTGATCACAATTGCGTGGATCGATGCTGATGATGTCAATCACTGTATTGTCTGGTCCGGAACGCCGACAAATAGCTTGAATATTGCTGAGTGCGGCGTTAATCAACAAACAAACAAACAAAACCGAGTCCTTTGTGACTGATGAACTGATCATCTAGATAGGATCTGTGGTTTTGTGAACAACCTTTGGGCTAAAATAAGGTTGTTACTACCGTACAGAGAATGTGTAAAACAGTTGGCTTGACTGGAATACGCATTAACCACTGTCTTCACCAGACATGGGTAGATGAACAGATATTATGTGCAATGACTGGCCACGGATCAAGGGCTGTGCATAACTACAAATTACAAAATCTCAGAAGAAAGACCAGGTCGACTGTGAAGGTCATTGATGTTCGCAGTGACTGAACGACTGAACCTTGTTTGATCCACGTCAAACTGCAGTCAACGAAAATGTTTTGAAGATCCGGGGTAGAATAGGTCTTCAGCAACCCATGCTTGCCATAAAAGGCGACTGTGTTTGTCGTAAGAGGCGACTAACGGGATCGGGTGGTCATGTTCGCTGACTTGGGTAATGCATGTCATAGTATCCTAATTACGTGGATCGATGCTCATATTGTCAATCAATGGATTGTCTTGTCCAGACTCGATTATTTACAGATGGCCGTCATATAGCTGGAATATTACTGAGTGCGGCGTTAAACAACAACAAAAAAAAAAAACCAAACCATACCAAAAGACGTTAAAAGATGATACTTGTTGTACCTGTCTGGCGCTCGGTATTAAGGGGCTTAAACAAGGACTGGTCAGCTCGGAGTCAGTATACTGTGTCTGAAGGGGTATTCATGTTAAATTGCGGCATGGTATCTCAGTGAGCTAGCACTATAAATCGGCATCACTCCGGACTAGTACAAGCAGCCACACAAACACACACACGTGCATGCACGTCGCTATATAAGTGCAATAATCTTGGACGCGAATTTAAACCCCATTTCACCTCACCACCTTACAATAGTTGAAATATTAGAAATTCAAATTGACTAACAAAGGAAACATTTAGCTGAGGTAAGTGTCTTTGGCTTCACGACAGTCATCTCTTGTTTGCAAACACCAGTTAGTTGATTGTGCGTTCAACTCCATGCATTGTTTCAGGCTTCTATTGAAGTGTAGGGACCTGTTTTGGGCAGCGATAGCATAAACAGAGTTTCGCGAACGGGCTATCCATGTCAGGAGCTTGAAATGGACCTTTTCAGAAATGTCGTTGACCAGTGGCAATGTGCAATCTAAGCGTTCCTTTATTGGTGACTGAGTGAAGTTGTTTGAGCCCCGCTTTGAATGTTATTTCGATTATATATCATCGTACCAGCTTCTTGTAAGAGGAAAGCTTGAGGCGTTGAAGGTATAAGACGTTTTCACTGTCGAATCCCACGAGCACAGGTAAGATGGACTGGTCGGCTCGGAGTCAGGATACTGTGTCAGAAAACAACAAACAAACCAAACCAAACCATACCAAAAGACGTTAAAATATGGTACTTGTTGTTACCCTGTCTGGCGCTCGGCATTAAGGGGCTAAAACAAGGACTGGTCTGCTCGGAGTCAGTATACTGTTTCTGAGTGGGGTATTCATGTTAAACTGCGGCATGGTATCTCAGTGAGCTAGCACTATAAATCGGCATCGGTCCGGACTAGTACAAGCAGCCACACAAACACACACACGTGCATACACCTTGAATATATAACCGCAATAATCTTGGACGCGACGTTAAACCCAATTTCACCTCACCTCACCTTGTCAGGAGCTTGAAATGGACTTTTCAGAAATGTCGTTCTGACCAGTGGCAACAGGAGAAATGTGCAATCTTAGCTTTCCTTTATTGGTGAGTGAAGTGAGTTGAAAAGAATTACGATTATTTTACATCGTACCAGCTTCATGTAAGAAGAAAGCTTGAGGCGTTGCAGGTAAAATACGTTTTTACTTCGTCGAATCCCACGAGCACAGGTAAGACAAATCAGGTCTACACAGCTAATTGCGTCTCCTTAGACGACATTCTAACTTGTATCCCTGCCATTGTTGCCTTTAACCACAGGGATATGAGGGATGTTGTACAGTGTATTTCCAGGTTGCACAATGAGGGGAGAGCCTGTACACCACATTTGTGACAGTGATGTCTTTTTCCAACTTTAAACTTTTTCTTTCACAATTTATGTTAGTAAAAATACATTACTATACGCATCCACGTCAGATATACAAAAACAAACAACATTCTGAAATATACTCGCAATAGAAACGGTGTTCTAACGGGAATCATTTGGTAATGTTCTACATGAAAAAAACAACAAAAACAATCTGATCACGTAGCTAATAGAAAGATAAAATCATTAAGTACATTTTTGCAACATGACTAAGAGATAACTCTTCTCATTAGAGAGCACATGTTTTATTAATGAGCAGATTCGTTTCACACTTCCCCCTTATAGGGAAGTTGAAAGTTAACTGTCAATATGAAGTCTGATTCCGCGATTGCAACTCGCACGAGTTAACACCCGGAGGCCATATCAATTGCTATAGCTTGATACACCAACATTGAAAATGTTCCTTTCTCATTACCAGTAAGTAGATTAAACATATACTTATTTCGACTTATACAGTAATATGTTTTTTGTGCTGATAGGTGGGTATATATTATTTTCCATTTTCAGACATATCATGGCTTCTGTGGTGATCCTATGTTTTGCATCCGTTCTACTTTTCATACAAGGTAAGTTTGCAGATATTCATTGTTTCGTCCACGAATCTGCTTCGAAAGATAAACGTTCTTGGTTTTGTGACTATAGGAGGCTAACTTATCATATTCTTCACATATTTATTTCAACCTGGACTTATTCAATCCCTATCATGGAGGCTTTTTCAAAGGTATATAACACATGTTCCAATATCTTACTTTCACAAATTGACTAAGTGTTGCGAAATATAAAGATATATTAAACATTGTAGTTTGTTTCAAAATAAGCATTACTATTATAAGAAGTAACTTTCATTATTGGCCTAGCTACTACTACTACAACTTCTACTACTACTGCTACTACTACTACTACTACTACTACTACTACTACTACTACTACTACTACTACTAAAAGTACCATTACTACTACCCAGTCGCCTGAAGCTTCACAGGGTGGTAGCCTAGTGGTTAAAGCGTTCGATCGTCATGCTTAAGACCCGTGTTTGATTCCCGACACGGGTACAATGCGTGAAGCCCATTTGTGGTGTCCCCCGCCCTGATATTGCGGGAACATTGCTAAAAGAGGCGTAAAACCATACTCACTCACTGAAGCTGCACAATTTGCTCTCATAGCACTCAGGGATCCAATATCCTACTTTCGAAAGTACTATGACTACTACCCAGTCGTCTGTAGCATCACATTTTTGCTCTCATTACTTTGCCTATTTGGTTATCTCTGTACGATCCCAATCCTTATTCTTTTTTCCCAGCAAAACCCTGCAATGATAACCAGAACTGCAATAGCTGTGACGACACTGGTTTCTGCACATCAAAGTGTCACCCTCGGTATTTCGACAAGAGATGCAAATCTAAGTGCAACAGTGGCTGCAGAAATAGATTGTGTGAACTACACACAGACGGTGGCATCGAGGTATGCACCAATGGCTGTATTTCAGGATTCCAAGGTCCAAGGTGCAACATACCATGTGATGAGAATTGGAGACAGTGTACAGAATGCAAAGGAGGGTGTGTCGGCAAGTACTGCCAGCTGAATTCATCCTGTGTTTCTGGATGCGTCGACTCCTACTATGGCCTTGACTGCAAGAACTGTTCTGAACAATGTAAATCGTGCAATAGAATCACTGGAATATGTGACCAGTGTCATTCGCCATACACTGGTCCCAACTGTGAGATATCATGTGAGAATTGTAAAGGAACATGCAAGGCCGGATGCGAAGAAGGCTGTAATCGCGGATTTTATGGTCACTGGTGTGAAAAGGTGTGCAGTGAAAATTGCCTCGCTGGCCCTGGCGCATGTGACATAAAGGCTTCAAACAATTGTATTCCCGAATGTGGCAACATGACAGGATTCTGTATTCATAGCTGTAATGGCGGGTGGTATGGAGCCAACTGCTCAACTCAATGTAACCCAAGGTGTGTAAATATGTCCTGCACTGGTACAGGGGCGTGTGTAGCTGGCTGTGCACCAGGATATGCTGGTTCAGACTGTTCATGCTTTGAAAACTGCAACGAGCACATTTGTTTCTCTGAGAACGGAACCTGTGAGAAAGGGTGTGATAATGGCTATTACGGTGCATTTTGTAACACCAGCTGTGAGGTTTGCATTAATGGGATTTGTGAGCAGGAGTCTGGAACCTGCACCAAAGGATGCAACATTACTGATCAAAGATGCAAGTCTACCTGTTCAGGTGACTGTCCCATAGATACCTGCGTCAAGGAAATTACATGTGGTAAGACCTATGTTTTTTATTTTATGGTCACTGGTGTGAAAAGGTGTGCAGTGAAAACTGTCGCCCTGGCCCTCACGCAACTTCTGTCCCAGAATGTGCCAGAAATCCCCCCGCCCAAAAATTGCATCTTCGAATGTGACAACTATTCAGGGGATCGTATCCACGGTTGTGATGTCGGATGGTATTGTACTACTTGCTCATCTCGATGTAACTCGAAGTGTGTAAATATGTCCTGCACTGATTAAGGGGCGTGTGCAGATGATTGTACACCAGGTTATGCTGGGTCGGACTGTTCATGCTTTGGAAACTGCATTGATCACGAATGTCACTCTACCTGTGGGATATGCATTGACAGTAATAAAGATCATTATATGTTATACATTCATGTCAATAGTTTAGAAAAACGACACCCAAACATCCTTAACAAGATGTTGACAAAACACTGACCATCTGAAACTTGACAATTATGGGCATTCCCCGTGAAGGAATTAAAACAGATGCATCAATGGAATAGAATAATACATCAACCAATTTATAAGATAACTCATTTGTGTGTGAATATGATATTCCGTTGATGTAACTGATTACCACTATCATTCTTCGTAGGAAGCGATCGCTCGTCACGCTGAAGACCAGGGTTCGATTCCCAACATGGGTAAAATGTGTGAAGCCCATTTCTGGTGTCCCCCGCCGTGATATTGCTGGAATATTGCTAAGAGAGGCGTAAAACCATACTCACTCACTCACTCACTCGTAGAAAGGTTATCAGCTGTCCTCAGACGAATGATAATTAGACTTTGTTCAATGTCACACTTGTATGGTTTGGATTTATATCAATTAGTTGAGAGACAAGGTTAGAATGGGTCACAGGTGTTGATTTTATGGGTTTTCATTAAACCTTCTCTAAAGTTCCAACATGACCAAATCTAATTTACCCTGAGATGTAGGAACGGAGAATACAAATATATGATAAACATTTAGTCATCCACTTTACTTGATCACAGATAATTTATTTACGCATCCTATTTGAACATCTGTCCATTTGTAGGTACTTTGTGTCATAAGTTCAAGGTTTTAGGTATAGCACCTATTGATATAGAGGCCCTGCATGTAAACTATTTTACTGTGCCACTATTCTGGTGTTTATAAGAGACATATACGTATACGTACACATTAACAATATAATTAAACTTGATAACATCATTGTTTCCACAGAGCCTTCCTCTCAGAGCCTTCCACTGATCATTATCGGAACATCATCAGCGTGTTGCCTGGTTGGCATCATGGTAGCTGTATGCATTGGATGCTACGAACGCACCAAAAGGTTTATATTCAAGTGTTTTATGTAAACAATGAATACAGCTGATTAAGAATGCTTTCTGTTATATTTAACATATATGCTCTCATCTGAGCACTGTGACGTATCCTATTTTACATATATGCTAAGGACCAACAATTTGATATTCTGGTTATTATTTCTTTCAACAGTCTGAAGCATAATATTATTTTTCAAGCCTTTCCAGGGACAATTTCCTTCTTTCGATAAAATCCCCACACTCCATGCCCCACACCTCCCTGAATACGGAGATAATATTCCCATGTCCTATTACCAATGACGATAAACAAATACATTATTTCTCTTACAGGCAAAAAACAGATGACAAAGAAGAGGAATATCCAGCGGGACAACCGGAAGCACACCAGTACGAGCTGATAGATATTGATCCTGATAAGAACGAAACAGGCCCTGTGATAGTTTTCCTTTAGTGTAGGATCACGCTCCATTATCTCCAACCACACCACTCAGCACAACATAACACAACACAACACAACACAACAAACCACAGAACAGCACAACACATGATATAATATATTCCAACAATACCACTTAGTTATTTTTAGAATATATTTGATAACTTGCTGGAATCTATGTTAACACATAACTTTAAATATAGTTCAGAATTCTTATCATTCTTAATTTCTACGGTATAATAAGCATGCTTAGCTGTCTTATGCAGTAATGCATTAAGCATTATATGTTATACTTTCATATCAATAGTTTGCAAACCTAAACCCAAGCTGTCTGTCTTTGTGACAAATGTTGACTAAACACTTGCCAGGTAAAACATTCCCCATGAAGAAGTCAAAACAGTTACATCGATGGAAAACATTATCTAATCCTCACGAATCTACAGAGCATAAAGTATATTATTTAGGAGATAAACCTACTGTGTTTTGAAATTTGATGGAGTCCCACTGTAGAGTAGATACAAGTTACACGAATCAGGATGACAACCCCGATCTATGATGTGGTTGAAGACTAACTTGTAGATTTACAGGGAGTGAGCCTGATGGTGCAACGTGATTGCCAATGGAACTGGAGAATGACTGAACAGCCGCTTTTTCAGGCTGCGGATGAGCCGGCTATTTTGACAGGACGGATGTCATTCGACCTGTCAATTTCAAGATTTCACAGTATTCGACGCCAGTGTGTGAAACAAATGTGACACTTGTTGCCAAAAAACAGTGGTTTGTGTATGATATGCTTAATTATGTGTGTTCAGAAATGAATTACATCAAGTTGGATAAGTTGTTATGATCAAGTGCCCGTGCTATGACTCCAGTGATGTTGAGACATTGTTTTCGTGGCCTTTCAAAGGGAGGAGTGTATTCTGATGGACTTTCAAATCCCCATCTGCTAAATCCTAACGTTGGTGGTTGACGGACAAAGCAATGATTGTCGATTACAAAACGGTTTGTAAACAACATGTTGTCATGAATAAAGGTTTTTATAACACTTTTTATAATGTTATATTGTACTTTCATTGTCAATGAGGAAATTGCCTGTTCTGGGTCTGTTCATCGAACATGTCCCTAACAGTTTCATAAACATTATCATTTGTATGCAAAATATATGCTTTCGTTAAGCCTTATAATCTCCTCATGGAAGCAGGGTTACTGCCTAGAACATCACATCATCGATAAAAACATCCGATATCAAAGTACCATATTTCCTCTATCAGACGCTAGGCCGTCTATTAATGTCGGTGTGTATCTGAGACCTGTCTTGCATTGGCGACATAGCGTGTACTAGAGGTAGTGCTTAATGCTTTAAGTTCCTATGGGTAATCGAACGGCAGCCATTATTTATGAATCAACTTGTAGGTATTCGAAGTATTCATATGCACGTTTTTTTGTGCATGAAAAGGCTTAATATATTTCAAATGGGCTTCCGTAGCAAAAAATTATCAGAATCAATTATACCTCAACGTCATGGTAGAGTTAATGTCAGTGCGTTTTGTGGTTAGAATGAATATTTTAATAAACAGTGTATTTGATAACTACCATTTATTAATGCATAGAAAATTTAGACGTTTTCCTTTAGTGGAGGATGACGTCAAACAATGTCTTTAGAACGTGAAACACTCATGAATTAAATCACCAGCAGGTGACCCCAGGTCACTGACTTTGTATAGGTTATAGTCATCGGGGTCGAGATAAAATTACAACTGAGTGAGTGAGTTTGGTTTAAACCCGTGATCATAGATGTCTGGCGTAGCCAAGGGACGCAACCCTGGACAGGGTCATCTATGCCACCGAGTGAGTGAGTACGTTTGGTTCAATGACGCTTTGAACAATATTCCAGTTATACGGCGTGTCAGCTTAATGTGGGAGGAAAGCCTAAAGTTATGCAGGCCTTAGACGTTTTCTAATTTTGTGAAATCCACGAGCATGGGTATGGTGCTGCCAAGAATATACTTATGGTGTGGTGCTCGTCACTGCTTTGTGCAAAGTAATAGTCATTGATATCAAGAGAAATTGGAGGTTATAATGTAATGCAATGAAATGCGTTGCGTTGAGTTGCGGTGAGGTGAGGTGAGGTGAAGTGAGGTGAGGTGAAGTGAGGTGAGGTGTGGTGAGGGGAAGGAAGACAACACAATAGAAGGTAGACGCAATTTTATTAATAACAACTTCTTTAATACTGTAAAAAGCGAAGTTTCGGTATAGATCCTTATACCGTTGTTGACTTGTCCTGATAGGTACAAAAAGAATGTATATCAATATAATGGCCTTAGCACGATACCGCTTGAATCATAAAAGACAGGAAACCGTTGATTAGACTGAGCAAAGGCTGCCACGATAAAGTGATTTGTCATGTACTGAATAAAAGTTGAGTGAACTAATTAATAGTAACACCTTCAGTCAGTGAAGCAGTGATAGCTGTGCAACCATTTGGGATTGTCAATAATCATGCGCGACGATCAGCGGGCAGATATATTACAAATGGTATATGACAAATGGTACTCTTTTCATACTTTCGGGGTAAAATAGGTCTTCAGCAACCCATGTTGTCTATATTTAAAAAAGAATCAAATGAAAAAGACCAAACACATGTACACACGTGCACATGAGTCTAATGTAATTGTTCCTCCGTGTGCATTGCCTGCTCCCTTCACTACATCGTATGCGTGTCGTATTAGGCGACTAACGGGATCGGGTGGTCACAATTGCGTGGATCGATGCTTATGATGTCAATCACTGTATTGTCTGGTCCAGAACGCCGACAAATAGCTTGAATATTGCTGAGTACGGCGTTAATCAACAAACAAACAAAAAAACCCGAGTCCTTTGTAACTGATGAACTGATCATCTAGATGGGATCTGTGGTTTTGTGAACAACCTTTGGGCTAACATAAGGTTGTGACTACGGTACAGAGAATGTGTAAAACAGTTGGCTTGACTGGAATATGTATTAACCACTGTCTTCACCAGGCATGGGTAGATGAACAGATATTATGTGCAATGACTGGCCACGGATCAAGGGCTGTGCATAACTACAAATTACAAATTCTCAGAAGAAAGACCAGGTCGACCGAGAAGGTCAACGAGGTTCGCAGTGACTGAACGACTGAACTTTGTTTGATCAATGTCAAACTGCAGTCAACGGGATCGGGTGGTCAGGTTCGCTGACTTGGGTAATGCATGTCATAGTATCCTAATTACGTGGATCGATGCTCATGTTGTCAATCACTGGATTGTCTTGTACAGACTCGATTATTTACAGATGGCCGTCATATAGCTGGAATATTACTGAGTGCTGCGTTAAACAACAACAAAAAACCCAAACCAAACCATACCAAAATACATTAAAAGATGATACTTGTTGTTACCCTGTCTGGCGCTCGGCATTAAGGGGCTTAAACAAGGACTGGTCGGCTCGGAGACAGTATACTGTGTCTGAAGGGGTATTCATGTTAAATTGCGGCATGGTATCTCTGTGAGCTAGCACTATAAATCGGCATCACTCCGGACTAGTACAAGCAGCCACACAAACACATACACGTGCATGCACGTCGCTATATAAGTGCAATAATCTTGGACGCGAATTTAAACCCGATTTCACCTCACCACCTTACAATAGTTGAAATATTAGAAATTCAAATTGACTAACAAAGGAAACATTTAGATGAGGTAAGTGTCTTTGGCTTCACGACAGTCATCTCTTGTTTGCAAACACAAGTTAGTTGATTGTGCGTTCAACTCCAAGCGTTGTTTCTGGCTGCTATTGAACTGTGGGGACCTGTTTTGGGTAGCGATAGCATAAACAGAGTTTCGCGAACGGGCTATCCATGTCAGGAGCTTGAAATGGACCTTTTCAGAAATGTCGTTCTGACCAGTGGCAACAGGAGCAATGTGCAATCTTAGCGTTCCATTATTGGTGACTGAGTGAAGTTGTTTGAGCCCCGCTTTGAATGTTATTTCGAGTATATATCATCGTACCAGCTTCATGTCAGAGGAAAGCTTGAGCCATTGCAGGTATAAGACGTTTTCACTGTCGAATCCCACGAGCACAGGTAAGATGGACTGGTCGGCTCGGAGTCAGGATACTGTGTCAGGAAACAACAAACAAACCCAAACCAAACCATACCAAAAGACGTTAAAATATGGTACTTGTTGTTACCCTGTCTGTCGCTCGGCATTAAGGGGCTAAAACAAGGACTGGTCTGCTCGGAGTCAGTATACTGTGTCTAAAGGGGTATTCATGTTAAACTGCGGCATGGTATCTCAGTGAGCTAGCACTATTAATCGGCATCACTCCGGACTAGTACAAGCAGCCACACAAACACACACACGTGCATGCACCTTGTATATATAAGTGCAATAATCTTGGACGCGACGATAAACCCAATTTCACCTCACCTCACCTTGTCAGGAGCTTGAAATGGACTTTTCAGAGATGTCGTTCTGACCAGTGGCAACAGGAGCAATGTGCAATCTTAGCGTTCCTTTATTGGTGAGTAAGTGAATTTGGTTAAGCCCCCTGAATAGAATTACGATTATTTTAAATCGTACCAGCTTCATGTAAGAAGAAAGCTTGAGGCGTTGCAGGTATAAGACGTTTTTACTTTGTCGAATCCCACGAGCACAGGTAAGACAAATCAGCTCTACACAGCTAATTGCGTCTCCTTAGACGACATTCTAACTTGTATCCCTGCCATTGTTGCCTTTAACCACAGGGATATGAGGGGATGTTGTACAGTGTATTTCCAGGTTGCACAATGAGGGGAGAGCCTGTACACCATATTTGTGCCAGTAATGTCTTTTTCCAACTTTAAACTTTTTCTTTCACAATTTATGTGAGTAAAAATACATTACTATACGTGTCCACGTAAGATATACAAAAACAAACAACATTTTGAAATATACTCGCAATAGAAACGGTGTTCTAACGGGAATCATTTGGTAATGTTCTACATGAAAAAACAACAAAAACAGTCTGATCACGTAGCTAATAGAAAGATAAATCATTAAGTACATTTGTGCAACATGACTAAGAGATAACTCTTCTCATAAGAGAGCACATGTTTTATTAATGAGCAGATTTGTTTCACACTTCCCCCTTATAGGGAAGTTGAAGGTTAACTGTCAATATGAAGTCTGATTCCGCGATTACAACTCGCACGAGTTAACACCCGGAGGCCATATCAATTACTATAGCTTGATACACCAACATTGAAAATGTTCCTTTCGCATTACCAGTAAGTAGATTAAACATATACTTATTTCGAGTAATACAGTAATATGTTTGTTGTGCTGATAGGTGGGTATATATTATTTTCCATTTTCAGACATATCATGACTTCTGTGGTGATCCTATGTTTTGCACCCGTTCTACTTTTCATACAAGGTAAGTTTGCAGATATTCATTGTGTCGTCCAGGAATCTGCTTCGAAAGATAAACTTTCTTGGTGTTGTGACTATAGGTGCCTAATTTATCATTTTCTTCGCATATTTATTTCGACCCGTGAAGATCCGGGGTAGAATCGGTCTTCAGCAACACACGCATGCTGTAAAAGGCGAGTATGCTTGTCTTATGAGGATCGGGTGGTCAGGGTCGAGTCGATTGTTTACAGACCGCTATCATATTGCTGGAATAGTGCAGAGTGCGGTGTTTAACAACAAACAAGCAAGCAAAGCATATTTATTTCAACCTGGACATATTTTCAATTATTAACATGAAGGTTTCAAAAGTCCATACCACTCATGGATCCAATGTTCTACTTTCAATATTACTATGACTACTACCCAGTCGTCTGAAGCATCACAATTTGCTCTCATAGCTTTGCCTATTTGGTTACCTCTGTCCAATATCAATTCTTATTCTTTCTTTTCAGCAAAACCCTGCAAGTATAGCCAAAGCTGCTTAAGGTGTGACGACAAAGGTTACTGCTTATCAAGGTGTCACACTGGCTATTTCGGCAAGAGGTGCACATCTAAGTGCAGCAGTGGCTGCAGATATAAATTTTGTGAACAACTCACAGACAGTGGCATCGAGGCATGCACCCATGGCTGTATTTCAGGATTTTACGGTACAAGGTGCAACTTACCATGTGATGAGAATTGGAGACAGTGTACAGAATGCAAAGGAGGGTGTGTCGGTAAGTACTGCCAGCTGAATTCATCCTGTGTTTCTGGATGCGTGGACTCCTACTATGGCCTTGACTGCAAGAACTGTTCTGAACAATGTAAATCGTGCAATAGAAGCACTGGGAATATGTGACCAGTGTCATTCGCCATACACTGGTCCCAACTGTGAGATATCATGTGAGAATTGTAAAGGAACATGCAAGGCCGGATGCGAAGAAGGCTGTAATCGCGGATTTTATGGTCACTGGTGTGAAAAGGCGTGCAGTGAAAACTGCCGCGCTGGTCCTGGCGCATGTGACAGAAAAGCTTCAAAGAACTGTAGTCCCGAATGTGACAACATGACAGGATTCTGTAGTCATGGCTGTAATGGCGGGTGGTATGGAGCTAACTGCTCAACTCAATGAAACCCAAGGTGTGTAAATATGTCCTGCACTGATTCAGGGGCGTGTGTAGCTGGCTGTGCAGCAGGATATGCTGGTTCAGACTGTTCATGCTTTGAAAACTGCATCGAGCATATTTGTTTCTCTGAGAACGGAACCTGTGCTACAGGGTGTGGCAATGGTTATAACGGTGCATTTTGTACCTGTGAGATTTGTATTGATGGGATTTGTGACCAGGAGTTTGGAACCTGCACCAAAGGTTGCAACATTACTGATCAAAGATGCAAGTCTACCTGTTCAGCTGAATGTCCTATAGATACCTGCGTCAAGGAAAATACATGTGGTAAGACCTATTTTTTGGATTTTATGGTTATTGGTGTGAAAAGGTGTGCAGTAAAAACTGTCGCGCTGGCCCTCACGCAACTTTTGTCCCAACAATTGCCTCCTCGAATGTGACAACTATTCAGGAGATCGTATCCACGGTTGTAATGTCTGATGGTATTGTACTAATTGCTCATCTCAATGTAACTCGAAGTGTGTAAATATTTCCTGCACTGATCCAGGGGCTTGTGTAGATGATTGTACACCAGGTTATGCTGGGTCGGACTGTTCATGCTTTGAAAACTGCATTGATCACGAATGTCACTCTGAGAACTACCTGTGGGATATGCATTGGCAGTAATAAAGATCATTATATGTTATACATTCATGTCAATAGTTTAGAAAAACGACACCCAAACATCCTTAAAAAGATGTTGACAAAACACTGACCATCTGAAACCTGACAATTATGGGCATTCCCCGTGAAGGTATTAAAACAGATGCATCAATGGAATAGAATAATACATCAACCAATTTATAAGATAACTCATTTGTGTGTGAATATGATATTCTGTTGATGTAATTGATGACCAATATCCTTCTTCGTAGAAAGCGATCGCTCGTCACGCCGAAGACCAGGGTTCGATTCCCAACATTGGTACAATGTGTGAAGCCCGTTTGTGGTGTCCCCCGCCGTGATATTGCTGGAATATTGCTAAAAGCGGCGTAAAACCATACTCACTCACTCACTCACTCACTCGTAGAAAGGTTATCAGCTGTCTCCAGATGAATGATGATTAGACTTTGTTCAATGTCACACTTGTATGGTTTGGATTTATAACAATAAGTTTGGAGATTAGGTTAGAATGGGTCACAGGTGTTGATTTATGGGTTTTCCTTAAACCCTCTCTAATGTTCCAACATGACCCAATCTAATTTACCCCGAGATGTAGGAACGGAGAATACAAATATATGATAAACATTTGGTCATCCACTTTACTTGATCACAGATAATTGATTTACGCATCCTATTTGAACATCTGTCCTTTTGTACAGTGTGTCATAAGTTCAAGGTTTTAGGTATTGCACCTATTGATATAGAGGCCCTGCATGTAAACTATTTTACTGTGCCACTATTCTGGTGTTTATAAGCGGCATATACGTATACGTACACATTAACAATATAATTAAACTTGATAACATTATTGTTTCCACAGAGCCTACCTCGCAGAGCCTTCCACTGATTATTATCGGAGCATCATCAGCATGTTGCCTGGTTGGCATCATGGTAGCTGTATGCATTGGATGCTACGAACGCACCAAAAGGTTTATATTCAAGTGTTTTATGTAAACAATGAACACGGCAGATTAAGAATGCTTTCTGTTATATTTAACATATATGCTCTCATCTGAGCACTGTGACGTATCCTATTTTACATATATGCTAAGGACCAACAATTTGATATTCTGATTATTATTTCTTTCAACAGTCTGAAGCATAATAATCTTTTTTCAAGCCTTTCCAGGGACAATTTCCTTCTTTCGATAAAATCCCCACACTCCATGCCCCACACCTCCCTGAATACGGATATAATATTCCTATGTCCTATTACCAATGACGATAAACAAATACATTATTTCTCTTACAGGCAAAAAACAGATGACAAAGAAGAGGAATATCCAGCGGGACAACCGGAAGCACCCCATTACGAGCTGATGGATATTGATCCTGATAAGAACGAAACAGGCCCTGTGATAGTTTTCCTTTAGTGTAGGGTCACGCCCCATAATCTCCCACCACACAACACAGCACAGCACAACACAACACAACAAACCACAGAACAGCACAGCACATGATATAATATAGTCAAAGAATACCACATAGTTATTTTTAGAATATATTTTATAACTTGCTTGAATCTATGATAACACATAACTTTAAATATAGTTCAGAATTCTTATCATTCTTAATTTCTACGGTATAATAAGCATGCTTACCCGTCTTATGCAGTAATGCCTTAAGCATTATATGTTATACTTTCATATCAATAGTTTGCAAAACCTAAACCCAAGCTGTCTGTCTTTGTGACAAATGTTGACTAAACACTTGCCAGGTAAAACATTCCCCATGAAGAAATCAAAACAGTTACATCGATGGAAAACATTACCTAATTCTCACGAGTCTACAGAGCATAAAGGATATTATTTAGGAGATAAACCTACTGTGTTTTGAAATTTGATTGAGTCCCGCTGTAGAGTAGATACAACTTACACGAAGCATTGCCAGGTAAAACATTCCCCATGAAGAAATCAAAACAGTTACATCGATGGAAAACATTATCTAATCCTCACGAATCTACAGAGCATAAAGGATATTATTTAGGAGATAACCTACTGTGTTTTGAAATTTGATTGAGTCCCGCTGTAGAGTAGATACAAGTTACACGAAGCATTGCCAGGTAAAACATTCCCCATGAAGAAATCAAAACAGTTACATCGATGGAAAACATTATCTAATCCTCACGAATCTACAGAGCATAAAGGATATTATTTAGGAGATAAACCTACTCTGTTTTGAAATTTGATTGAGTCCCACTGTAGAGTAGATACAAGTTACACGAATCAGGATGACAACCCCGATCTATGATGTGGTTGAACATTAACTTGTAGATTTACTTGGAATGAGCCTGATGGTGCACCGTTATTGCCAATGGAACTGGAGAATGACTGAACAGCCGCTTTTTTCGGCTGCGGATGAGCCGGCTATTTTGACAGGGGCGATCTGATTTGACCTGTCAATTTCAAGATTTCACAGTATTCGACGCCAGTGTGTGAAATAAATGTGACAGTTGTTGCCAAAAAACAGTGGTTTGTGTATGATTTGCTTAATTATGCTTGTTCAGAAATGAATTTCATCAAGTTTGATAAGTTGTTATGATCAAGGGCCCGTGCTATGACTCCAGTGATGTTGGGACATTGTTTTCGTGGCCTTTCAAAGGGAGGAGTGTATTCTGATGGACTTTCAAATCCCTTCCTGCCAAATCCTAACGTTGGTGGTTGACGGACATCGCAATGATTGTCGATTACAAAACAGTTTGTAAACAACATGTTGTCTTGAATAAGGTTTTTTACAACACTTTTTATATTGTTATATTGTACTTTCATTGTCAATGAGGAAATTGCCTGTTCTGGGTCTATTCATCGAACATGTCCCTAACAGTTTCATAAACATTATCATTTGTATGCAAAATATATGCTTTCGTTAAGCCTTATTATCTCATCATGGAAGCAGGGTTACTGCCTAGAACATCACATCATCAATAAAAACATCCGATATCAAACTACCGTATTTCCTCTATCAGACGCTAGGCCGTCTATTAATGTCGGTGTGTATCTGAGACCTGTCTTGCATTGGCGACCCGGCGTGTACTAGAGGTAGTGCTTAATGCTTTAAGTTCCTATGGGTAATCGAACGGCAGCCATTATTTATGAATCAACTTGTAGGTATTCGAAGTGTTCATATGCACGTTTTTTTGTGCATGAAAAGGCTTAATATATTTCAAATGGGCTTCCGTAGCAAAAAAAATCACCAGCAGGTGACCCCAGGTCACTGACTTAGCATAGGTTATAGTCATCGGGGTCGAGAGAAAATTACAAGTGAGTGAGTGATTGAGTTTGGTTTATACCCGTGATCATAGGTTTCTGGCGTAGCCAAGGGACGCAACTCTGGACAGGGTCATCTGTGCCACCGAGTGAGTGAGTAAGTTTGGTTTATTGACGCTTTGAACAATATTCCAGTTATACGTCGTGTCAGCTTAATGTGGGAGGAAAGCCTTATGTTATGCAGGTCTTAGACGGTACCCAATCTGGTGAGCATGGGTATGGTTCTGCCAAGAAACATACTAATGGTGTGGTGCACGTCACTGCTTGGTGCAAAGTAATAGTCATTGATATCAAGAAAAACTGGAGGTTATAATGTAATGTAATGCGTTGCGTTGCGTTGCGTTGTGTTGCGTTGCGGTGAGGTGAGGTGAGGTGAGGTGAGGTGAGGTGTGGTGAGGTGAAGGAAGACAACACAATAGAAGGTAGACACAATTTTATTAATAACAACTTCTTTAATACTGTAAACAGCGACGTTTCGGTATAAATCATTATACCGTTGTTAACTTGACCTGATAAGTACATAAAGAATGTATATCAATATAATGGCCTTAGCACGATACCGCTTGAATCATAAAAGACAGGAAACGTTGATTAGACAGAGCAAAGGCTGCCACGATAAAGTGATTTGTCATGTACTGAATAAAAGTTGAGATCAGTCTAATGTAATTGTTTCTCCGTGTGCATTGCCTGCGCCCTTCACTACAATATCTTATGCTTGTAGTATTAGGTGACTAACGGGATCGGGTAATCACGATTGCGTGGATCGATGCTGATGATATCACTGAATTGTCTGGTCCAGAACGCCGACACATAGCTTGAATATTGCTGAGTGCGGCGTTAATCAATAAACAAACAAAACCGAATCCTTTGTGACTGATGAACAGATCATCTAAATGGGATCTGTGGTTTTGTGAACAACCTTTTGGCTAACATAAGGTTGTGACTACGGTACAGAGAATGCGTAAAACAGTTGGATTGACTGGAATACGCATTAACCACTGCTAACTGTCTTCACCAGGCTTGGGTAGATGAACAGATATTATGTGCAATGGCTGGCCACAGATCAAGGGCTGTGCCTAACTACAAATTACAAAATCTCAGAAGAAAGACCAGGTCGACCGAGAAGGTCAATGATGTTCGCGGTGACTGAACGACCGAACTTTGTGATCAATGTCAAACTGCAGTCAACGAAAATGTTTTTTAGATCCGAGGTAGAATAGGTCTTCAGCAACCCATGAGTGCCATAAAAAGCGACTGTGCTTGTCGTAAGAGCTGGAATATTACTGAGCGCGACGTTAACAACAAACAAACCAAACAAAACCATACCGCAAGACGTAAAAAGATGGTACTTGTGTGTACTTGTACCGTGTCTGGCGCTCGGCATTAAGGGGCTAAAACAAGGACTGGTCTGCTCGGAGTCAGTATACTGTGTCTGAGTGGGGTATTCATGTTAAACTGCGGCATGGTATCTCAGTGAGCTAGCACTATAAATCAGCATCAGTCCGGACTAGTAGAAGCAGCCACACAAACATACACACGTGCATGCACGTCGCTATATAAGTGCAATAATCTTTAACGCGGCGTTAAACCCCATGCTTGCCATAAAAGGCGACTTACGGGATCGGGTGGTCAGGTTCGCTGACTTGGTTAATGCATGTCATAGTATCCCAATTGCGTGGATCAATGCTCATGTTGTGAATCATGTTGTGAATCACTGGATTGTCACAAACACACACACACACGTGCATGCACGTCGCTATATAAGTGCAATAATCTTGGACGCGGCAGTAAACCCAATTTCACCTTCACCTCGGCTCGGAGTCACTATACTGTGTCTGAGTGGGGGATTTCACCCACCACCTTATAATAGTTGAAATGAAATAGAAATTCAAATTGACTAACAAAGGAAACATTTAGCTGAGGTAAGTGTATTCGGCGTCACGACAGTCATCTCTTGTTTGCAAACACCAGTTAGTTGATTGTGCGTTCAACTCCAAGCATTGCTGCAGGCTGCTATTGAACTGTAGGGACCTGTTTTGGGCAGCGATAGCATATACAGAGTTTCGCGAACGGGCTATCCCTGTTAGGAGCTTGAAATGGACCTTTTCAGAAATGTCGTTCTGACCATTGACAACAGGAGCAATGTGCAATCTTAGCGTTCCTTTATTGGTGACTGAGTGAAGTTGTTTGAGCCCCGCTTTGAATGTTATTTCGAGTATATTTCATCGTACCAGCTTCATCGGTCCCGACTAGTACAAGCAGCCACACAAACACACACATGTGCATGCACCTTGTATATATAAGTGCAATAATCTTGGACGCGACGATAAACCCAATTTCACCTCACCTCACCTTGTCAGGAACTTGAAATGGACTTTTCAGAAATGTCGTTCTGACCAGTGGCAACAGGAGCAATGTGCAATCTTAGCGTTCCTTTATTGGTGAGTGAGTGAATTTGGTATAGCCCCTCTTTGAATAGAATAACGATTATTTTACTTCGTACCAGCTTCATGTAAGAGGAAAGCTTGAGGCGTTGCAGGTATAAGGCGTTTTTACTTTGTCGAATCCCACGAGCACAGGTAAGACAAATCAGGTCTACACAGCTAATTGCTTCTCCTAAGACAACAGTCCAAATTGTATTCCTGCCATTGTTGCCACAGGGATATGAGTGGATGTTGTACAGTGTATTGACAGGTTGCACAATGAGGGAAGAGGCTGTACACCATATTTGTGCCAGTGATGTCTTTTTCCAACTTTAAACTAAGATAATGTGTACAATTTATGTGAGCATAAATACATAAGTATACTCGTCCCAGTCAGATATGCCGTTTCTGGTGTAATAATAACTCGTAATACAGTCGTAATAGAAACGGTTTTCTAACGAGGCATCATGTGGTAGTCTTAATACATGGACATTTTCTGATTACGTAACTAATAGAGATAGAAAAATCACTAAGTACATATTGGCAACATGACTAAGAGATAACTCTTCTCATCAGACAGCACATGTTTTATTAATGAGCAGATTTGTTTCACACTTCCCCCTTATAGGGAAGTTGAAAGTTAACTGTCAATATGAAGTCTGATTCAGCGATTACAACTCGCACGAGTTAACACCCGGAGGCGATATCAATTGCTATAGCTTGATACACCAACATTGAAACTGTTCCTTTCGCATTACCAGTGAGTAGATTAAACATATACTTATTTCGAGTAATACAGTAATGTGTTTGTTGTGCTGATAGGTGGGCATATATTATTTTGCATTTTCAGACATATCATGACTTCTGTGGTGATCCTATGTTTTGCATCCGTTCTACTTTTCATACAAGGTAAGTTTGCAGATATTCATTGTGTCGTCCAGGATTATGCTTCGAAAGATAAAAGTTCTTGGTTTGGTGACTATTAAGGAGGCTAATTTATCATATTCTTCGCATATGTATTTCGACCCGTGAAGATCTGGGGTAGAATCGGTCTTCAGCAACCCATGCATGCCGTACAAGGTGACTATGCTTGTCTTATGAGGCGGCTAACAGGATCGGGTGGTGAGGCTCGCTGACTTGGTTGATACATGTCAGCGTATCCCAATTGGGTGGATCGATGCTCATGATGTCAATCACTGGATTGTCTGGACCCGACTCGAATGTTTACAGACCGCCGTCATATTGCTGGAATATTGCTGAGTGCGGCGTTTAACAACAAACAAGCAAGGAAAGCATATTTATTTCAACCTGGACATATTTTCAATTATTAACATGAAGGTTTCAAAAGTCCATACCACTCATGGATCCAATATTCTACTTTCAATAGTACCATGACTACTACTCAGTCGTCTGAAGCTGCACAATTTGCTCTCATAGCTTTGCCTATTTGGTTACCTCTGTCCGATCTAAGTGCTTATTCTTTCTTTTCAGCAAAACCCTGCAATTATAGGCAAAGCTGCTTAAGGTGTGACGACAGAGGTTACTGCTTATCAAGGTGTTACACTGGGTATTTCGGCAAGAGATGCACTTCTAAGTGCAGCAGTGGCTGCAGATATAAATTTTGTGAACAACTCACAGACAGTGGCACCGAGGCATGCACCCATGGCTGTATTTCAGGATTTTACGGTACAAGGTGCAACTTACCATGTGATGAGAATTGGAGACAGTGTACAGAATGCAAAGGAGGGTGTGTCGGTAAGTACTGCCAGCTGAATTCATCCTGTGTTTCTGGATGCGTGGACTCCTACTATGGCCTTGACTGCAAGAACTGTTCTGAACAATGTAAATCGTGCAATAGAAGCACGGGAATATGTGACCAGTGTCATTCGCCATACACTGGTCCCAACTGTGAGATATCATGTGAGAATTGTAAAGGAACATGCAAGGCCGGATGCGAAGAAGGCTGTAATCGCGGATTTTATGGTCACTGGTGTGAAAAGGTGTGCAGTGAAAACTGCCGCGCTGGTCCTGACGCATGTGACAGAAATGCTTCAAAGAACTGTAGTCCCGAATGTGACAACATGACAGGATTCTGTATTCACGGCTGTAATGGCGGGTGGTATGGAGCTAACTGCTCAACTCAATGTAACCCAAGGTGTGTAAATATGTCCTGCACTGATTCAGGGGCGTGTGTAGCTGGCTGTGCACCAGGATATGCTGGTTCAGACTGTTCATGCTTTGAAAACTGCATCGATCATATTTGTTTATTTGAGGACGGAACCTGTGCGAAAGGGTGTGCTAATGGTTATTACGGTGCATTTTGTAACACCACCTGTGAGATTTGTATTGATGGGATTTGTGACCGGGAGTCTGGAACCTGCACCAAAGGTTGCAACATTACTGATCAAAGATGCAAGTCTACCTGTTCAAGTGACTGTCCTATAGATACCTGCGTCAAGGAAATTACATGTGGTAAGACCTATTTATTTGAAATAATATTAAACAGTGTACCTATTATTATCCATTTTTCTTCCAAAATATAGATAATTTGCTGTGACAATTTACGTTGATATTTTCAAACAGATTGACGTGTGAGTTGAGTTGTGAAATGAAAAAACAAATTTATGGAGGATCTTTAATAGATCAAAATGTATACTACATGAATCAGATGGATAATTTTATTCATGTAACAAGCAAGCAAAAGTACATTTAAAAAACAACAACAGAGAACAAAGTTCGGAATGTAAAGAAGTAGGTTTATCGTCAACTGAGCATGTCTTATGTTGAGTTGAAAATATGCCCATGGGTTTGTCTTCAATACAATATTCAGAACCAATTCATTCCTGAAGATTCCTTATCCATTATTACCCCCTACATGTTGCAATCTATGACAGCTATGACATATCCATATGTCTCAGCATATGGAAATACAATGACGTCAAAGTCTATCTGAGGTGCGGGGGACACGGGTGGCCCAGTCGTCCAAGACGCCGCGATTTGCTTTGCAGAGTTGCGTCCCTTGGGCACGCCAGAAACCTATGATTGTGTGTTCGAATCCCGGTTCGCCCCGATTATGTTTCTAGGTTTGTCAGCACCACACCCGTGCTCGTAGGTTTCCCCGAAGTGTTTAACGTCTGAAACCTGCATCACTTCGGGCTTTCCTCTCACAATAAGCTGACACGCCGCGATATAACTGGAATAATGTTAAAAGCGGAGTTAAACCCAACTCACTCACTCACTATCTGAGATGCATACAGAGACGAGATTGGATCACAGACCTACAGTGTATAAACATAACCGTTATGTTCCCGAGAGCAATGCCCCCGTGCAGGCAATCGTCTCGTTACAAAACAATGCCGGTATGTAGAGGGGAAACTAGAGCTTCGGACTCATGTGCCTGCAATTGGTAGATGTCGGAGTTGAAAAATACACTTCAGCACTTGAAAGATTGATATCGTGCTCTGTCCTCGTGGCTACTTCCATACCATAGTATTTAATGATATTTAAAAAAATGTCACATAAATTCAGCTTTATTATTATTTTATCCTGCAGGTGGACCCCCGGCGGTTGATAGTAGGAACATCATAATAATACTGTTGACAGTGCTGTGTCTTGGAGGAGTCCTGTTTGCTAGCTGCGTGTGTCTTCGAAAGTATTCGTCTACATGCAGGTGAGTACTTATTAGTTCCACAGGTATATGATTCAATTCTGAATTTTGCTACATGTACGCAAACTGGTTAAAATGGTATCGTGGCAATTTAGTTCAACGGATATGTATTCAAGCGTCTAAATAATAACAAAAACACAGGTGTTTAACAAATTTATATGTCAGCATTGATCTTCAGATATTGTCAGCTTAAATGAAACATTAAACAGCATTAAATAAAATATGCAAAAGAGTATTTATGAATTTTGCAAATCACAACTGTTAAATTTCCTCCTGACATAGTTTCGGGCTGCATTCTCCAGCTGCCTTTAGCGACAAAAAAATTTCGACTATGATGAATAAATGAATTTGATAAGAGGTGAGGTGAGGTGAAATGGGGTTTAACGTCGCGTCCAAGATTATTGCTCTTTTATAGCGACGTGCATGCGCGCGCGCGCGTGTGTGTGTGGCTGCTTGTACTAGTCCGGACTGATACCGATTTATAGTGCTAGCCCACTGAGATACCATGCCGCAGTTTAATATGAATACCTCACTCAGACACAGTATACTGACTCCGAGCCGACCAGTCCTTGTTTTAGAACCTTAATACCGAGCGCCAGACAGGGTAACAACAAGTTCCATCTTTTAACGTTTTTTTGGTATGACGCGACCAGGGATCGAACTCCGGACCTTCCGCTCTCCGGGCGGACGCCCTCTACCACTAGAAAATTTGATAAGAAACGTATGTGGTGAAAAATAGAGTTTTTTACTGTTACATTACCTTGAAAGTTGTAAATCATCTAACCTATTAAATCTTATAGAAGAATCCAAGGATTACGACAATCTTTGACTTATATATCACTAAGACTTAGCTATCACTGATCATGATTTTCTGTAGTTTGCAAATGCCGGGATGCTATTTCCATGTCGAGAATAATCTTCATTAGTTGTCAACAACTTCATGTGAGGAGCGAAGCATATGCATAATTTACAACGAACACGTGATGACTTTGCATTAAGTAAATATTTCCTTCTATTTGAATACTCATGAGTTCAGATCTGAAACGAATTTACGTCCGTGTCGCGTCTTCTTTTTTGTAGTTTGACCAGGGATACAGAAATGACAAGTTTCGTTTTCTAAACAACTCATCGATTGTTTAATATTTCTTCGTGAAAATGCTAAACTGACGCCATGGTCTATTTGAAATGTAGTTCTCTCTCACTTTTGGGGAAAAAACGTTGGATTGATCAAAATCCTTGATGCGTCGGAATTTTATTTATTTAGGATGGTCATTATAGAGACGGCAAACATTCTTATCTCTATAGACACGGAACTATATGTTGATCTATTTCTTAATAAAGGCGACAAAACACTTCCCATAGCAACAACCAATATCTGTTCAAAATAGAGTTGATCGTACGATTCCGAATGTATCTTGAGGATTTGAAGCACTATCAAATTGTAATAATACCAGGTGTTTGCATAAGGATGAGCGTATCCTGCCCCATGGGTGGCAACCGTCGTAAACACATACAGAGGCAAGTCAATTGTTCAACTGAAAAAAGGGAACATATTTTACAAGTCAAAATTGGGAATTGCATCGGACATATTTTCTGCAACTGATCCGTCAAATTTAATATGTCCTCCCTATGTCTACCATAAAACCTTTTCAAAGTTTTGCTGAGGTCTTGAATGTTGTAACCTTGATCCAACAACTATTGAGCATATGACGCTCTTTGAAATCTTCGTAGAAAGAGCATATCTGCTTGAATCTCAAAAGTTGTGAAATGCAGATACCAAAGTTTTGAGCTGCTGGAATATTGCTCGACATGAAAAGAATGTTGACAACTGGAAAGTTGAAGTCATCCCTCTTGTCATACATTTGTGGAGAGTTTATCTTGTTAAAAAATCCCACCGCATCAACTGTCAGTTGCAGGTATTGCCAAGGTCATGAACACCTTTGAGATAATTGTTAAAAGTAGTTGAATCTAATATTTTCTTCAATATGGTGCAAACATTACTGGCATCAGAGACATTATTTCACATTAACCTAGCCATTTCATATAGCATATTTTGTGAGAAGGCCAGATTCATAAAATAGAAAACCCTCACTTTTGTGGTTACACTTTCTCAAAACGTATGTATGCATGTAATTTTAAATTTAATAAATGCCTTTTCCGTGACGGGGCCTTCCTGTAAAGCGAGTTTAATCTTGATAAATCAAAGGTCAACGCAAGCGTTCAGGTTTATATAAAACATATCATTGGTATGTCTTTGTCAGTTTCTGAGGCGTGGTTACAACAACAGTTCAGAAGTTTCGGAGAAGAAAACGTTAATGAAAAGACGACAACACGCCTCGCCATTAGTTCCCTTGGACCCTTAGTCCATTATGTCATGTTTTAACTATATGTTGGTCCTCTGTATTTAAGGGGGCACGGGTGGCCCAGTCGTCTAAGGCGCCGCTATTCGCTGTGCAGAGTTGCGTCCCTTGGGCACGCCAGAAACCTATGATTGTGTGTTCGAATACCGGTTCGCCCCAATTATATTTCTAGGTTTGTCAGCACCACACCCGTGCTCGTAGGTTTCACCGAAGTGGTAAACGTCTGAGACCTGCATCACTTCGGGCTTTCCTCCCACATTAAGCTGACACGCCGTGATATAACTTGAATAATGTTAAAAGCGGCGTTAAACCCAACTCACTCACTCACTCCTCTGTATTTAACTGTTATTTACTTTGAATACCTTCTTTCACTTTAGGACAAATCAAGCAGACCACTACTTGGAGGCGTACCAGCCTGCACCCAACATGTACTGGGAAGTAAGAGATGCCGAGGTGGATCTAGAAAACCGGCCCCCTGATACCGAGGCGACTGGTCAACGAGTACGGGAAGTACAAGCTCATGAAACTGACCATGATTCGGCATCGGATGGTGCTTCTGAAGACAGTCTGTCCTACTCTCACCTAATGAGAAACATCCCTTTGGATGATGAAACAACTGTATATCATAAATATATACCTCCAGCAGAAGACACCACAACCAGGAATTAAACACCAGTTGACTACATTAGGCTTCACAATGCGTAAGGTTAGCTAACATTTTTAAGACGCTGCCGTAGTTGCTACAGTCTGTTTTCGCAATTTGGTATTTCAATAAAAGCGACAAAACTATTTACAAAACCGCACGATATTTCTGCTGAACGCCGAGTCCGTTGTCCGTTGTTAAGTTGATGGTGATGTCAGGTGTTCGCGAAAAGGTGAGCATATGGTGCCACCGGTGCGTCCGTTACAAACACATGCACTCGCAAGTCAACTGTTCACCTGAATAAACTTTCAATTCATATTTGTAATAATGTAATCGTATCAATCAGCGATAGTTGAAAGTTGAAGGTTAAAGTGATTTCTTTCACATTTTCAACCAATGTGATTGTGACAATGTAAACCTAAATTTCACATTGTCAAACATAACTTCAGTCGCCGGTTTCTTACACCTTTCCTCCTCTCATTTGCCACGACCCGTGAAGATCCGGGGTAGAATAGGTCTTCATCAACCTATGCTTGCCGTAAAAGGCGACTATATGCTTGTCGTAAAAGGGCGACTAACGGGATCGAGTGGTCAGGCTCGCTGACATGGATGATGCATGTCATCGTATCCAAATTTGCGTGGATCGATGCTGATGACGTCAATCACTGGATTGTCTGGTTACAGACCGGCGTCATATAGCTGGAATATTACTGAGTGCGGCATAAAACAACAAACAAACAAACAAACAAAACTGGACAAGTTAATGAGTACAATCTTACAACAACTTAGAATATTCTATTTCACCTCAAATAGGATTTCGACATTTGAGAGTGGAACGTTGCCAAGTGGCGAAATAATTTTTAAAAAGCGACAAATCCCTTTCCATATTTCTAAGAAATCTCTTCCGACTATATCATGAGCAAGTGTGCAATCAAATAATGATGATGCCTGGTGTTCGCAAAACGGTGAGGAATTCCTGCCCCACCGGCGGCATCCATCACAGACGTATACAAAGGCAACGGTTCTTTAAAACGTGTATGCAACACTTAAAAGATATCACAATACATGACAATACATTATAAAAAAGGGGCTATCGATCACTATCAACCACAGGCCACCATCCTAGGAACCAAGGGTTCTCACGGTCCATCCGCTACCTTCATGGTACTCAAGCATGATTTACACCATCCCTTTAGTCACTTGCCATACGTCCATGAAGTAAGTCCAAAGTGTATGTACTGCTGATAGGTGTTTAACTGCCCCCACTGTTTTGCAAAACGAATATATTTCTTAAACATTTTTTTATTATTTTTAAGAAAGCCGAATCTCTGCATTTGTATACACTTAAAACAGATCTTCTTTACTGTGAGGTGAAATTGGGATTAACGTCGCGTCTAAGATTATTGCGCTTATACAGCGACGTGTATGCATGTGTGTGCGTGTGTCTGCTTGTACTAGACCGGACTGATGCCGATTTATAGTGTTAGCCCACTGAGATACCATGCGCAGTTTAACATGGATACTCCATTCAGACACAGTATACTGACTCCGAGCCGACCAGTCTTTGTTTTAGTACCTTAATTCCGAGCGCCAGACAGGGTAACAACAAGTACCGTCTTTTGGTATGACGCGGTCGGGGATGGAACCCCGGACCTTCCGCTCTCCGGGCGGACGCTCTACCACTAGACTACGGAGGCGGTTCGTCTTAACTTCTTTCAACAAAATCAGCTGACAGTCGTGTCACTGGATTGTCTGGTTTGTCTACAGGCTGACGTCGCATGGCAGGAGTACTGCTGTGCTGCGTCAGACAATATATACTTACATTTTTTGCGATTTGTATGAATGGAGGGTAGTACGGGTAGGGCTGGACATGCTTACCCTTTGTGCGAACACCTGGTGTCATCACTGATTTGTAGGGAATATGTCTTCCTAGTGAAGACTGAGCACACAATTTCATTAATTATCCCCCCAACATATTCATGATCCCTAACGTATAGTATAGTTTGAATTTGGGCAAGTTGTTTTTTTAACAAAGGCACATAGAACAACAGGAAGTACAGTGACCCTTCTTCAAATCAACAGTTTCATTTAATAATTTACAAATGAATAGTGTCTATCTTTAAATACTCTTTATGTAAAACTGCGAGGATACATAATTATGTATATGTATTAAACAAAGGGACCCGTGAAGATTCGGGGGTAGAATAGGTCTTCAGCAACCCATACTTGCCCTAAAAGGCGACTATGCTTGTCGTAAAAGGCGACTAACGGGATCGGGTGGTCAGGCTCGCTGACTTGGTTGATGCATGTCATCGATCCCAATTGCGTGCTCATGATGTCAACCACTGGATTGTCTGGTCCAGACTCGATTATTCACAGACCGCCGTCATATAGCTGGAATATTGCTGAGAGCGGCGTTAAAAAAACAACAATAAAAAAACTATGCGTTTTAAGTGAATGTTCTGCTGCGTTTGATCATGAAGTTTCAGTCTTTATCATACAACCACGAATAGCCTGAAAACAAAAGGAGGAAGTAAAAGTCATAAAGCATATGAATAGAACGCTTGAACAACGCGTATTGATAAACAGCTTAAAACATGATATTGAACTTGATGACCACTTTTGTATAATACTGGTGCATACACAATCAGGAAACAGGTTTGTATATCTGATAGACGCTATTTCCATGTATGTGTCATGTATGATTCACATACACACGCATGATGGAGCGCCTGCTTGTAAGGAAGCTGATCTCTAATAATTGCAACCGTGGCTGAAACCGCAACGGGAAAATAAACGCTTCAAAAATGACCACAACAGAAGAACGTACAATGTATATTCCTTTTTTGCCTTTCTGCTTTAGTTTCTCTGGCCAGCTTACTCTCTATTGTGTATTTAGTTTTAAAGGTTTCTGTCAGGCATATCTAGTAGGCAGTCTTACATATATGTTTGAGGTGGTCACTTTGATCGTTTCCCTTAAAGTCGGAACATTGTCTATATTCGTGGAACTGGGTGTTTGTGTTTTGAGGATTTCATTATCCAGAATTACGTGACCTTAACTACACAGTTGGTCTATTATAATTATGATTATTATCATGCATTCAAAATAAAGATTGCTGTCATCTGAACCGACAAGAAGCTTCGTGTTGTGTGTGATCCAACAATATCTACCCCATATCCGCTACCATAACACCATAATGTTTGACATCAGTTGTGCATTTTACGACCGCTTCTTACAATAAGTGGTTGATATTGATGGTTATCTGATTCTTGCACAAAGGTTAGAGAATTCAGGGATCTTACGCTTCCAAATAGATACGTCCTCTACAAATGTTTAACATGACTGGTCAATTTAAAGAAAGGTTATCATAGTATTACGCGTATGCCTACTTTTGGTCATTACTGGCATATAGCAAGAATATACTGTTGAGTGCGGCATCAAACAACAAACAATATGGCGGAGGATCGCCCCCATGGCCTAGTTGATAGAGCGTCTTCCCGGAGAGCAGAAGGTCGGTGTTCGATCCCCGGTCGTATCATACCAAAAGATGGTGCGTATTGTAGCCCTGGTTGGCGCCCGGAATTACGAGGATAAAACATGAACTGGTCGGCTCGAAGTCAGTATACTGTGTCTGGGTTATCTCCCATTAGTTTCACGTTCCATTTGTCACATTCCTTTATATTCCCAGTTGTTACACAGCCTGGAAGGACAACACCTACTGAGTAATGGACCAGTCCTAATCGGAGTACATAGGATTACCACAGAGACCCAGGTATACATACAGATTGCCAAGCTGGAGTTTCAGCACAAATGTTATTGTGAAATGTTATGGTATGACTAAAAGACAACTAATCTGTATCCAATGTATGATTAATCTGTCTTACAACAATATGTATGAAACAATAAGATATTCTTTGATGAATTAATTGTTAATGCAATTATTTTATTTTACTAGAGTCAGGTCTGCACAGTTTTAGTCTAATTATTCAATTATCTCTCCTGGGTACATGGGGTTTATTTCAGTTGCTTGGTTCATAAGCATGGCGGGTTTAAGGATAGTGGAGTATGTAACATCGCAGCGAGGCACACAACATGTTCTTTTTGAAGGTTACTTGTACAACAAGAGCACCACTCGAGAGAGCTGTCAACACTGGAGATGTATCCGTAAAGCCTGCAAAGGAAAATGTACAACAGTACGGAATAGCACAGACCACACCCATCCCCGCGAAGATGCCGACCGTTTCAAGTTTGTGAGCAACTTAAGGAAGAGGGCCAGAGGGGAGACATGCCACATGCATGAGTTGTACAACCAGGGAATTACTCAACAAGATCAGGCAACAATTGCTCTACTGTCCCCCTTCACTAGTACGAGCAGTTCACTATACAGGCATCGTCAGAAGACCATTCCAATGCTGCCACAGATCAGAGCTGAGGTGTATCTGACTATGGATTGGTCAAAGACCATGGACGGCCAGCCCTACCTTCTATTCAGTGTGGAGGAAGACACAGGATCTTGGCTTAGCTGTCCCCTACAAAGAAGACCTCCATGTGAAGCAATGGATACGGCGAGCTGCGGCACTGCCACACCTCCCTTTTGTACTGGTACAAGACTCAGTTGGTTGGACGCCATGGATGAGACACAAGAAGTTCCCCATGCTGAAGGCTTCAATCACTATATTGTGATGAATTTGGTTGACGCCAGATTTACCTTCATATTTGGAACCATCACCAGACAACAGGACCGCGCACAAACAATGATCCTGAGGGATTTCACAACCGACTCACTACCCCACGACCATCCGAACATCTACGGCTTCATTGAAGTTATCCAGAGAATCGAGAGAGCTGACCGCACTAAGTTTGATTTGGGAGCAGCTCAACCCAACCACAAAAGAGACTACAGAGAGTCTGAAAACCGTCTGGAGAGATTGACACGATTAAAATTACAAATATTCTACGTTTAAAGGAGTAGTAGGCATAAATATTCTTTGAATGAGAGGGACTTACGATATCCTCTATGGAGGACGTTAATTTTACACTGCTTCAACCCCCTTCGAGGATACAGCCACTAACAATCTCAAATATGAATTATTTATTTTATACAAAACATATTTATCAAAAATTATCA